CCTGCTGCTGCTGCTGCTGCTGCAGCAGCAGCAGCAGGCGCTCCTGCTCCTGCTGCTGGTGCGTGGCAGCTAGCTAGAGCAGTGTCCCGGAGGGCCACAAGGCTCGAGGTGGGCTCTGCAAACCCTAAACCCTAAACCCTAGCTAAACCCTAGTTCCCGCAGCGGCTGCCACTTGACTGGGGGGCAAAGAAAGGTCAGTTTGCGGTGTACAGACACCCCATTTGACTGTTGGAGTGGAGCAGTTCGGCCAGAAGACCCTTTTGGCAGATAGGCGGTGTCGGGGCTGCATGCAAAGGCATTATTTTCGTTATTTTGGCGAATATTTGCAACAAATATCAAAAAAAGTTGAAATAAAACATCAAATTCGTTTATTTCTCCGAAAAAAGAACAAAAAAGTCCCTTGCAGCTCCTGCAGTGGCTGCGTGTTCAGATCCAGGTGTCTGTACACCTCGGACCGGCGCGCCCCGCCGCCACAACACTTCAGTTCTTCATTTTTTTTCCTTTTCTCTCCAATTAAATCATTTCATATTTCTTTTTTTTGTTTTTCTGAGCCTTTGAGAGCAGCAGAAGACCCGGAGGAGCCGCAGATGGCGCGGACGCCGAAAGCTGCACAGAGCTGATCTGCGCGGATCTGAGTGGAAAGCGTCCGGAATTAGTCCGTTTTTTTTCGTTTTTTTCTCCTTTTATTCTTTTATTATTCTTTTTTACTCGTTTTACTCCTTTTTATCCTTTTAATTACTCAAGAAGGCTCAAGGAATGCTCGCTGCCAACGCCCCGAACTCCTCCAAGAAATCCGGGCAGATCGTCTGCACCATGCGGCCGCTGCTGGAGTGTCTGCAGCAGCACCAGCTCAAGCCCCCCAGCAGCAGCAGCAGCAGCAGCAGCGAGCAGCAGCAGAAACTAGTGCCCGATGGGGACATTTCGCAGTGCGCGAAAGAGGTTTATTTGTTTGAAAAGACCTGCAGCAAAACTGTCGGATATGTCCATGACAGAGATGGACTTGAAGACACAAGAAGTGGTTTGTTCTCCGGCACCAGGGCCCTCTAAACCCTAAACCCTCGTGCTGCTGCTGCTGAGGGTTTGGCCGGGGCCTGTAGACCCTCGTGCTGCTGGTGAGGGTTTAGTCCTGTAAACCCTCGTGCTGCTGGTGAGGGTTTAGTCTTGCAAACCCTCGTGCTGCTGCTGAGGGTTTGGCACTTGCTGCTGAGGGTTTGTCCGGGGCCTCCCGTAAACCCTCGTGCTGCTGCTGAGGGTTTAGGAGCCGCTGCAGCAGCCCCCAAACCCTAGCTAGCGCCCCGTTGGCCCTTTCAAAACCCTAAACCCTAAACCCTAGCCCTCCCACAAACCCTAAATTCAAACTTTCTCGCGGGCTCCGTGGGCCCACCTCGCTAGCTAGCTCTAGCTGGCTAGCTAGCTAGCTAGCTAGCTAGCTAGCCAGCTAGCCAGCTAGCCAGCTAGCTAGCTAGCTAGCTAGCTAGCTA